TTGATAACTAAGTTGAGCACGAAGCTCCTATCTAATTGCAGAAGTGCCAGTCTTATATAGAACCTTCGTTCTCTGTGGTCGCCATGGTCGACCATGTCGCTCGTCACGTGATCCCTAGTCCAAGGAAATCCTTGGATCGCTTAGCTAACCTAAACGATCCTCATTTGCTATAAGTCTATGGATGGTGCTTGACCTGTCAGGACGCCGCCTGGTCTTCACTAGTCACGTGTGCACGTGATTCGTGACATATACTTATATAAGGCTTACTATCTTTACTACTATAGTATTCCTAGTATAATATAATTTTAGCCTAAAGTTATTATTTTTATACTATATTTATAAAAGAACCTACGTTATTCTAATATAAGAGAGTAGGATTAACCTTAAATCTAGCTTATTTAAGGACCAAATTATCCTTATATCTAATTCTATAGTATTAGAGTTACTAGCGTAGGGGTTATTACTAGATTCTATACTATTAGAATTATTATTATTTACTTTTTAAGAATAGTTATATGTCACGAATCACGTGCTCACGTGATACTTGTCATAATAAGAGGCGCAACCCTCGACAGGCATACCCAGGTTTCTTATAGCAAATAGGGATCGCTTAGGGTAGCTAAGCGATCCAGGGATTTCCATTGGTTATGGTCACATGATTAAGTTGGATCGCTGGATCGCTCGGCGACCTAGCGAAACGGACCGCCAGCTCGACAGGCGAGTTGGCTACCCAGATCATAGTACTTGAGGATGAAGGTTCTATATAAGACTGGCACGTCTGCCATTAGATAGGAGCTTCGTGCTCAACTTAGTTATCAACTTATTTATCAATCTTATCATATTTGTTTGACATCTTTGATAAAAGTAACGAGTTCACTTCCAAGTGAACAACCCGATAGTCTTCTTCTTATCATAGCATACCAACCAGCGAACACCCAGCCAAGTTTAGTTAGCCAGTTTGAGTATTCGTTACACTATATTTACTACTAGTAAGCTTATCTTAATTAAGCTTAACTATAGTATTATAATAAAGAAAACTCTGTTTCTTCTATAGTTTTACTTCTAAGTATTTCTATAAGTTGTATAAATTAGCTTAATTAGTAAATAAAAGGAATAACGTGGTTTATCAGCGAGTCGATCATATCACCGAGTCGATCACTTTTCCTTGGCACTACCTCCTCAAACTTCAACACACGTTTTCTTCAACTATTTACCATGGAAATTCAAACTCAAGAAGCGCGAATTACTCTAGCTATTGAGGCTATTCGGTCGTCCAAAAAACTAAGCAAACGCTCTGCGGCAAAGATCTACAATGTACCATATACGACTCTTTCCGACAGAATG